AAAAAATATTTCTTGGGTTGTACCAGGCGGACATATCTAATTATAGCTATTCTTAATTGAAGTTTTATGTCGGTTCTAATTTCTTAAGTTTTTTTTTTTGAAACTAATTTCTAAAGTTTTTTTACGTCTTTGAAATTTTTTGCTTGCAAACTTGAGTTCTGATTCAAGGTCAGCGCTTGCTTATTCTATGATTAGTCGGATAATTTGTGTTTATTTTTCAAAAATCAAATTATAATAAATAATATGCGGTATATAAATGAAGAAATATGTGGTATTTAAGATAAGAGAATATCCAACAAAGGTTAGGGAAGACACAACAATTGACAATCGATGAAGTTGTCTATAGCTTGCGCTCATCCCCCTTCATTCATAATGATCAACACATCCATAAATATAACAAGAAAAAACTAATAAGTTTTCGGGATCAGCAGGCGCTAATACATATGTACAATTTGTTGTGCATATTTTTGTTTCTTTGACGTAGGAATTAAGCGCATAAATGAAATGAAAGAGTCACACATCAAAGCTCACAGTTTTCTAAAGCTAGTGTGCGACTATATATCTCCCAAGATCAAGGATGCACGTTGGGTGGTTGCTGCCGGTAGATCACTAATATACGCGACGATGAAGGGTAACAGGGAATTTGTGGTCGAGATTATCAAATCTAACCCTCATCTTCTACGGGACTTTCAGGCTGATTACAAAAATATCTTTCAATTGGCTGTTCAAGGCCGGAACTCGAAGATCTTCAACCTAATCTATGGGATGGGTGATAGAAAGAAAATATTGCTTAGTGAGCAAGACAATGTTAACAACTCGGTTCTTCACGTTGCTGGAGCTCTGTCCTCTTCTGATGAACTCTCTAAGGTTTCTGGTGCTGCTCTCAAGATGCAAAGAGAAATTCAATGGTACAAGGTATGTTTTTTTTTACTTCTTTCTAAACTTTAAATTCAGCATTAATTCCCCGGGACGTTATGGTTTACCATAAAGTGATCAGCGATCAATGACCATCAGCCAAATCATGTTTGTTCTTGGTCGATGGTTTAGCGACACGTTTTGGTGACAACAACAGGTGTTTTGGCGACCAAATTATGTTTGTTTCGTAGTTGTTTGTGCATCAACACATTTCAACGACCTACACGGTAATAAAAAATATTAAAATACTAAAGTTTTCAACGCTTGAAATGTTTGATCGCTAGTTGCCAAAACATGTTGCCGAAACTGTCAGCTGAACCGGTAACATTGGGACGATCAAATTTTGGCGTTGTTGT